GGCGGGCGGAGGGCCCCGCGGTCACACCCCCGCCCGCCGGCCCAGCGGCTCCGCAGGGAGGGGCCTGCAGCCGCCTCGCCGACTCCCGGGACCTCAAGCCGCCATGACACCGGAAGCCGAGGTGCACTCGGGGCCCAGAAACCGGAAATGGAGGAAGAGCCCCGCCCACCGGCTGAAGGAGGCGGGTCCGGGGGCGGAGCCTAGAGTTAATTGGGTGAATTCGGTTCGAAGAAAAAGGTCTGAGAGCTAGAGGTGTTAAACTTAATTACGGAGGACCTACTCTTCCAGGGTCCATGCTAACTGCGTTTGTATATCTTACCTGAAGCTAAAATCGATCCTTTTTCTTGTTGAAGCTTCTCACCTCTCCACTGGCACCCAAGAACATAGAATCTGGTCCATGTTTCTCATCAAGGGGGCTCCCAAGGCATTTCACCACCTCCGGACCTAGGATCACTAATGGCCCTAATTCTGGAAGCTCAGCCCTAGTGCTCCTCTTAGTTGGCCTGCCTCATCCAAGAACATCCTCCCTGGGCAAATGTGGATCTTTTACAATTTTTTAGTTTTCACTTATTCATTCAACAAATGTTCACTGAGTAACAGCTACAGCAAATAGGAATCACAACCAACAAAGCAGTGTGTGTAATAAATATGTCCTTTGTCTTTCAGTAATTGAATTTTGTTTATATCGAGCTCCAGTTTGATGAGGTGCTGTCCCAGACAATCTGCCCCCATCTCCTTTTCTTCAGGTTTTATCTGAATTCCCTGTCAAATGAGGTGGCTTATCTAGTGCACAGTGAGAGGCAAGGAACTACTTCTTATCAGTAGATTGGGCATCTTGTCTGGTTGCCACTGAGCTGTACCTCGTTTCTGTCTGCGTGACTCTTTTAGGTTCTGGGAGAGGGACAGATCTGTGCACTTTCTTGCTATTTCTAAAAAGAATTTTTTCCAAGTCTGAAATCCATACCAATCTCTTGTGAGCTTGGGCTTTTGGAATACAAAAGTCTTAGTGAAGACTCACTTGCAAAATTGCTTTGCAGACTAGTCATATACATTATACGCCAATCAGCAAAGTGTATGTCTTACCATATCCATACCAATATAAAGCATTATTGTTTAAGTTTTTTCTGTTTTATAAGAAAAATGATATTTTCATATAGTTTTAATTTTGCTGCTAGTTATAAGTAATATTTTTAAAATAACTTTGATAGTTTTATTTTCTCTTCTGTACATTTTCTTGCAAGGTCACCCAGTAGGTTCCCTTTTCCTATACTTCCCCTCACTCCTGTTGTCATGATCCTTAGGTTTGTTTCACTTTCCCACCTGGCTGCTCTAGGCCAAGGAATACCAGAGACTCACTTGTGATTGCAGTCCCTAAAAGTAAGGAATTATGGTACTTTTCTAATGTATCCTTTATTCTCTCCTGAGCACTATCTCCTTGTAATAGTTTTCTTTTTCTTTTTTTTTTTTTTTTCAGAGAGATTTTTGATATAGGGTGCATTTGCTCATCGGAGAGACAGAGGCAGACAGAGAGAGATAGCGAGAGATTACTCCCTAGGGGGTTGGCCATGCCACTGTCCCTTCTCCATGCTCCTACTGGGATTTGGGGCATACACATACATGCGCCTGGCATGAATTTCAAGCTGCCAGGTCCAGAACTCAAACTACAGTTGGCCATGTGGAAGTCCAGCACTTTAGCCAGTATGCCACCAGCTGGCCCCTTCTCCTTGTAACAGTTATGGAAACTTTGGTCCCCTGAGGTTTCCTGAGAAGTCTTATAATATACTTCTTTCTGGCACTTTAAATGTCTATTTCAGGGCCAGCAGATGGTGTGGTGGTTAAGGCACTGGATTCCCACGTGGCTGACCATGGTTGGAATCCTGGACCTGGCGGTTTGCTTTCTCACTATCCCTCTCTCTGTTTCTCTTTGGTGAATTGAAAAAAAAAATTAAATTAAATATTTTATAAATAAATAAATATCTATTTCAGGAGTCTTTTTTCTGGTTCCCTTACATACTCTCAGGAAGGTGAACCAATTGATGGTTTGTCAATATCTCATCTTTCCAATTTCCACATCTCCTTCCATGTCAGCAACAACTTTGGAAAGCAACTGAGCCAAGTCTTCTGACTGGCACTTCCTCTGTAAGTCTAGAGATCAAGCCCTTGCTTCAGAGTCTGACTGGATTTTGACTCCCAGCTCCACTACTTACTGTCAGTGTGACTCCCAGTCAATTAAAGAAACTCTCTTGGCCCTCGTTTCATTGGTTAATTTTAAGATGAAATTAAGAATTAGTTACAATGAGATGAAATAACAAAGTAGAGTATCTCATGAAGGGCCTGGTCAATGGTGGATTCTCAGTAAGATTACCCCTTTTGTTTGTTTCCATAATTCTGTGCTTAGACTCAGCCCATTAGGAAAGATAAATCATTATTATTATTACTCCTGTTTAGTAAACAGCAAAAATGCTGCAGATGATTAACTGTGTTCCCTGCCACAATCTTTAGTGATTCTTACAGATGTTCTGTCCTACTGTGATAGCTGAGGGACCGGAATCACACTTCCTTTTCCCATCCAGGCTTTATTGCTCTTGAGGTAGAGAAGGGTAATGTGTAGTATAGGAGACAAAGATAGATGTCTCAACCACAAGGAAATTCTATTATCTCCAGATGTTGAATTTGAAAAAAATTAGTTTATTTTGTCTATGAGAGAGGGAAATAGAGAGCCCACCCTCAACAGCATCTTCACACTATAATCTTCCACCAATTTCAGCCACCTGGCTTACGGATACATATGCACTTAGCCTACGTAGGGAGGTGCTGGGATGCAAATCCAGGACTTTTCCCATGTGGGTCCACATTGCATGGCCATTTGAAACCTCAGTGAGCTGAAAGCTGCTGGGAACTCCAGTGATTGGGAGGACTTTAGAATTTAGTGCATTGGTTTCTTCTCTTGTTATGCTGGAGCAGTTATGGACTCTGAGGACCAATCCACAAAGCGCTGCAGAAACAGGACCAGCATATGGTGTAATGGTTACAATGCTGCGCTCCCACGTAGTTGACTGTGGTTCAAGTTCCAGACCCGATGGCTTAAAATTCATGCCAGGTGTGTGTGTGTGTGTGTGTGTGTGTGTGTGTGTGTGGGCCCAAGATCCTGAGAAGAAAATCAAGAAAGAATCGTGCCATGGCCAACCTTCCTGGGGATTTCTTGCTTTCTGTCTCTCTGTCTCTCTGGCACACACCCTATAGCAAAAAAAATCTCTCTCTCAAAACAAAACAAAAAACTACAAAGCAGCCTAGAAATATGCTACCAAACTTGGATTAAAACAGAGAGATGAAGGGTTTTCCCCAGCATGGAAAGCAGGTGGCTGACAGGGCCAATTGACTTACATCCTGGGTCTGATCCCAGGATCTTCAGGTCTGTTGGAGCAAAAGCTATAGCATCGGGGCCCAAAAGAGTGGCCTGGGGATGAAAAGCCAAACTACAGACAGAAAGGAGACACTGTGTTGAGAAAAGGAAACTAAATTTATAGAGCACTTATTGTGTAGTGATAAACAAAGTTCTTCACCGAAACTGTACAAAATCATTGTCCCCTATCTCCGATTCTGCCTTATACTTCATGGTTATCTTTCCAAAAGAACCATAGCAAACCTCGACAGAGAAGCCTTTTCACTCAAACTACTTTGGGATTAAAAGACCTCCCACCCCCCAGAAAAAAAAAAAAAAGAAAATTGAAGGGATAGAAAAGACAGTGTTTGATTAGTTTTGTCAGGATAAAACAAGGTCATAGTTGTGAAGGGCCTGAAAGCTATTAAACATGGTGCTATTCTTATGACCCCGCAGAGACAAAGGCAGTAAAAGTAGAGAAGTCCCAAACAGAAGATCAGATAGATCTCCTACTAGGCCTTGTCTACAAAGTAGGTGCTTTCATAGAAAGACTTATTCCATAATACGTCTTATAATTATTAGCCTTATTGACTAATAAAATTCGATCTGGACTTTAGTTCAGAGAGACTAAAGTATTTAGGAAAAGGATAGTAAGTTTCCAAGTCTAGAAAGGTGGAAAGACCAATAACTTAAAACCATCCTTTCATTCATTCACTTGCATATTTATTATTTCAACAAATACTAGTAAAGAACTACGAGGATTTCCTGAACAAATAAGTCATATTCTGGTGAGGGAGACAAAGAAGATGAAAAAAAGAAAGGAAGAAAAAGAAAAAGAAAAAGAAAAAGAAAAAGAAAGGAAGGAAAGAAGAGATGAAGGACTGTCCTTAGAGCAAAAGAGAAAGCTAGTCCTTTGAGATTGGAGATAATTATGAGAAGATCATATATGGTTGATCTGATGAACTGAAAGAGGCCATATGACCCAAGCTCTTCAGGGAAGGTGCCAGGCAGCATCACTGCAGGAGAGGATGGGAATGGTGAAGAGGTGATTGCTGAAGGAAAGACTTCAGTGAGAAGTGTGCTGGTGAGGACAGCATAAGTTGATGGCATATGTATTAGGTGAAGCTTGATTTGAGATTGGCTCTTAGAGGACATCGAGCAGGCATCTCTGCACACCTGGACTCCGTTGGAGAATGGACGAGGGCAGGGGTACGTCTCAATTCCACTCGTGTCAGCTGGCCCCGGGAACTGTCTTGGGAATCCTCTTCAACCTCTTCATCTTTGTTCTTCTTCATCTTTCTCCCCAGTTTGCTTTCTCCATAGCCCTCCTCAGCACAGTTAATGGAAACTCCATCCTTTCAGATACTCAAACTAAAAACCCTCAAGTCATCCATGACTCTTCTTTTTCCCTGATCTTCGAAATAATCTCAGCCTCGGGAACAGCAGTTAGCATAATGGCTATGTTGCTGGACTCCCATGTAGT